AAACTCATTTGTGGGCTCTTGTTAGAAGTAGTTCGAATTCTTCAATGCTCCGCAATTAGTCTATGCAGAAAAATGAATAGATTTATCAGTAATTCACTCGCACTAAATGGTTTAAATTAAGCCTTTTCAACTGAGAAATTGCACTTTTCGATGATTTATGATAGCACTTCCAATAATCACATCTCCATGTAAATGTGCTCGAAGAAACTTGGAGTTTGCCCTTGATGTGATTTCAATAATATCCGAGCTTTCTGAAATACAACATTTACAAAAAACCATTGTCCATTCTCTAAAAACATAAAATTCTTACTGTTAATAGCCGGCATCGCTCTTGTGAACATGCTTACAGTGGGTACAATATGAACATTGTGTGACGTAATCTTGTCTCTTATAGCTCTGCAAGAGAACCCATTTTTCATAATGTAATTTTCAAGCGAGCCCCTATATTTACGCTACCTGTTCACGATAAAGTAAATTACAGGATAAACACCACTATTAAAGATCCACATCATGTTTAAAGCCATGTATGACCAAATATTCGAAGGCAGTACCTAATCAAAGAAGCGAATGAATTTTTTGTAGAAGGAAAAGAGGGAGGCAGTTCGATTTTTTTTTACTTGGACAAATGTGCTCATTTGGGTAGCAAAGGAACTTCGTTTTTTTTTGAGTTTTAAACATACCTGAGGGTTGTGCCAAAGAAAATTGAGTACAGTGCAATAAACAGTGATTACCAAGGCTTGTATCAGTATCTTCACCTCAGTTGAATAATTCGCTGCTGCTACGAAGCGCTTTCGCTGTAAAGAATGAAATTTACATAGTTTTTTTTGCTTTGTTTGTAAAAAATTCACAGTTCTATAGAGCGCAATGACGACGAAGATATAGAAGACGGCGGATATGAGAATAGTGCTCAGTTCGATAACCATTTCACATTTTTGAACATAGTAGGAGAGTTTCAAGGTGTAATCATAGTCCCAAGAATAGCTGAAACTTCTCAATAAGCCTTATTATAGGACATTTTTAACTACATACTCCCTCATGAACTCACGCATCGGGAAAGTACATAATTGTTGCCCATGGAGAGGCGAGAAAAAATGCGTATATCAACCAAACAAGGATCGTAAAACCAACCCAAATCTAAAAAATCATCTTGAAAGTTGAATTGAAAAAATTGTTAGCAAATACAAAGCCTCTTACCCGAATGCCTATTCTGCTGAATAGGATCGTTTCAAGCTCACTAGAATAAATCTGTATAAATCTATTGAAAGATAAAATTATAGTAAGCATTGTATACGCTACATAGGCCGGTGTAGCCAGAACGCCCATGGCCTAAATACATATTATTGTAGACGAATCTAAATTGCTCCCAATCATACATTACCTTCGCAAGACCAGGGCTGTAGATTGAGGGGCAAACTGTGAATATTCCGGTAATAAAATGAGGAAAACACTGAATTACATCGAAGATTCCCAACAAGAACATCAATTTGTATGAAACCATCTTGAGCATTTCGCCATCTTTCCAGATTGTCTAAACAACAAGAAAGTGAGCGAGGTGAAGGTAGAATTGTATTAAAGTTTGCTGAAATGAAGCTTACCCTCAGAATGACTGAGTATGCCCAAAGGCATGCGAAGGACAAAATCATCATAGCACATCCAACAATCACATCGCTTAGATAAGTCTTACCTGTAATTGCAAATGAAGTAAAATGTTTAAAGGGAACCAAAAATAGCAAACACACCATCCATTTCCATTTCCATGGATCTACGGAGCCAACTGCGGAATTATTGTCATCGAACTTAGGAAAAAACTTTTTTAGTATCCTGCACAAAGAAAAATTTTAAAACGCAAAATCTTCCGAATATTTTTTCAAGATAGTCGCAGAAGTTAAATCATGTTCCAAGTGAGTCAAAAAGGAAATTTTTTCGCTGGAGATTTTTCCATCGAAAAGAGATGTGTATCAGCATTTCTTCACGGCAAAAAGAGCAAATTTTGCAAGAAAGCCTTCAAAATTACTTCAACACACTAAAATACTTTCAGTACAAAGTGATAAGGGACTAAATAAATTTGAAATGTTCCAGCAAAAGGAAAAACTTGAAAATGAGGGCTTGGGGCTATTTGAAACTATTAACATGTTCAAGATTAAATGCATTCATACGCCCGCGAATGTGATTTTTCTAAATGAAAGTGAGACTAAGACATTTAAGGACGAATAACAGTAGAAATAAACTTTAAGCATAGCAAGAGAGAAGAAAAGTGAAATCCCCAATCAAAACTTTATATTT